CGCCACAATCAACTATTTCTATGGCACAGTTGATCATTCTTATGGCTAAAATAAGCATTCTTGAATCACTCTATATATCCTAGCATTTACCCTAAAAACAATAACTGAGATCAAGAATCGCCTCATTATACCTTATCATTAATGCTTTCCAATACCGTTTCTAAGAGCCCATCGTGGGTATCTAATTTTAATCAACCCTTTTTAGAAACAGTTTCGAGGATGATATACGACCGTTTATGTGGAGTATCAACCCTTTTCATAGGTTCATGCAAGCGCAATATGTCACAATCCGTTTAAGGATTTATGAATCTGATAAATCCTTACATACAAGTAACGCTGATCGACATCCAATGTCGATTCATTTGGACTTATACTGACGGTATGATGATCAAGATATCTTTATATTAAAAAAAGAATGAATTCTGTGTGTGGATGAGATTAGGAAAAAATTATTATTATTTGTAACATGTCTAGTATTATATACTATCGATATATTCAAATAGTTCACATAAAATATTCAAACATGCTAATATATATTATAAAACTTATGCTTAGTTAATTATAACGACAAAAACAGGGTGAATTATGCCTAAGTAATGGCCATTTCAAATGCAAGCATGGTCAATTGTGATACAGGAATGCTTATTTTAGCCATAAGAATGATCAACTGTGCCATAGAAATAGTTGATTGTGGCGTGAAAATGGTGAATTACACCACAGAAACAGTCAATTTTATAATGAAGATGTACAATTGTGTCAAATATATGGTCACTTGTACTACGACTATGGTACTTTGTACCATTAAAATGGTCATTTGTACCAAGTGTTACAGACAGACATAGGTAAATTTCGCCTTCTAGACCCTATCCTTTCAGTCTAGGGAAAACCTTCGAGAAAGAATATTTAACGTTTATAAATTCCCTATTAAACACTTTTTAAAGGGTTTATAGAAGGGTTCATGACGACTTAATCAATGGTTGAAAAGGGTTTGCGTTACACATTGCACTATCATAAACACTTTAATCGTTTTTTATTTTACATTTTTTTGCAGTGTATATGCTACCATTTTTAACTTGAAATTACACTTTTCGTTTATATTTTTGGTTAGATAATCTAGAACCATTTTGTCCCGAACTTCTTGTGCAAAAATTACCGATAAAGGTGAGCGCACGTATCTGGCCGTTGCAAAGCGACAAGCTTCGACTGAAGATTGTTGTGACCTATTTGAAGTTAGAACGGTGGGCTGGTTCATACCTCGTAGATGTTTCACAGGTGTACAACTAGAATTAACAATAGGATTGTTTTGAGGATATTGGTGTCGCACTTGCACATTCGAATCTGAAATACCACTAGTGTCGTTGCGCCCTCTTTTGATGCAAGCTGATATTGGCGTTGAGGATACTGTTGGATTAATCATTATTGACTGAGGGTGCTCCGTTACATTAACCGATGGTTGACCGATTGAAAAGAACGCTTGTTGTTGAGATGTGTTGGAATGTACCATTGGTTGTTGTGCATAAGCAAGCCTGTTATTGTTGACTTTGAGGATGAGGATGCACTATTAAATTAGCTGGTGAGT